CTAAAAAGGTAAGTTCTTGTTAAATGTTTATCATTATCAAATCGATATTTTATTGTAATTATTAAACTGTTTATAGCGATATCAAACAGCAAAAACATTAAGATGTATCTATATAATGTCGTACGTGTAAGTATTTTTGTTATAGATAGACAATGTAAAATGGCGATCCAAGTTAAAATAGTTGAATCTGAAAACTGAATTAATATAAGAAGTATTAGAACATGGGTGAAAATATAAAGAGATTGAAGGTTAATTTTGTGATATTTTTTGTCCTGATATGTATTCCAGTTTGTGGTAAGTTGAAATTTTAATTAATAACGACATATATCGATTATTATGATAAACTCTTTCTACGTTTAGTAGATGAGATATCAATAAATATTCACTTTACCTGATTTCCACCATCGTTAAGCTCAACCCGCAACCCTCACAGAATACCCATATTGATTACAATAGAACTAAAGTCCGAAGATAGCGCAGCGTGAAACTTTGAGTAACAATATATTTCAGGTTATGTTTTAACATTTCTCTACATTTGATGTATTGAGCACTATTATAACAATAAAACTATTTTATTATTGTTATATTATATGTCAATAAATTAACCTTTTCAGCTAGTACTAATACAAGTACAGTATGTTATGGATCACCTGGTCTATCATGTGCAACTCACAGACTATCTTGTACCAGTCCTCTAGTGATACAGATACTAAATACATCATATGGATATAGATCAGAATGTAATGATAAATATGGTCTTACTAACTGTGTAAATACAACATGTTGTAAAGAAGAACCTGGTGATTGTATGGTACAATTATCTTCTGAAGACCGACGAATATCAGGAAATTGCAATGGAATACATTTCTGTGATGTACAAGGAGTTCGTAGATATATTAAAAATGATACTATATGTAATGGTATAAGTTCTTACAGCAAAATACAATATGATTGTGTTCCAAAAGGTAAATGTCGTTTATGTCTCTGTTACAATTCAATGTACAAATTTTGAGTCAAAATCGTGTTTCATACATCGCAGTCACAACTGCTGCATTAAAATTTGAGTTTGTGTTCATTTTGTAGTTGTAACGACTAACGCTCGAAAAACAGAAAAGAGAACAACAGAGGCGAAGCAAGCAGAGGAGAGTACTTCCGATACACAATATATCACATCTACTGCTTCTACTACAAAATATCGAACTATATCTACTGTATCGACTTCTTCTACTACAAAAGATTCCAAAGATCGGACTGTATCTTCTTCTTTTACTTCAAAAGATTCCACAGATCGGAAAGTATCTACTACACAAAGCTCACAGTGGCCCGTGGCACAAAATGAGGGTAGGTTCAGAGACACTTTTCACTATACCAAATGCTATTTGTTCTGCTTTCAAAATAATGTGTAGCTCAGGATTTCCATCGAAGTCTAAAGGGACTGTCTATTGCCTTCACATATTGTGCTATTCTCTATACCACTTGTAAAAGAGTAGGGTTAAGGAAAAGTACTGAAAGGTCCTCTTTATTATAGAATAATTAACTGTGACATCCCGTCTTTGCAGAGACAAACTCTGTGCAACTTTAAATGACATAGTTTAAATTTTGTCTTCCGTTTTAAGCTTCAGGTATTGTTGGTGGAGTGTTG